CAGCAGTGGATGAGTGTTCCCCTTTCCCCACATCCTCTCCAACATTTGGTATCATTTATTCTCTTGATTTTAGCCAGTCTGACTGGGGTAAGATGAAATCTTAAAGTGATTTCAATTTGTATTTCCCTAATTACTAATGATGTTGAACACCTTTTAAAATGCTTCTTAGCCGTCTTTATTTCTTCTTTTGAGAACTCTCTGTTCAGCTCTTTAGCCCATCTTTTAGTTGGGTTACTTCCTTTCTTGATTCTTTTTTTTCTGATGTTAAACCTTTGTCAAATGTGTAACTGGTGAAGATTTTCTCCCATTCTGTGTTTTTTTTCTTCACTTTTTTGTTTCTTTTGCTGTATAGAAGCTTTTTAGTTTAATGACATCCCATTTGTTGATTCTTGACCTTGTTTCCTGGGCAATTGATGTCTGCTTTAGAAAATCCTTCCGTACACCTTTATCTTGCAGGTTATTGCCAATGTTTTCTTCTAGCAGTTTCAGAGTTTCAAGCTTCACATTGAGGTCTTTGATCCATTTGGAGTTGACTTTTGTGCAAGGTGAAAGATAGGGGTTTAGTTTCATTCTTCTACAGGTGGAGATCCAGTTTTTCCAGCACCATTTGCTGAACATGCTCCAGTGAATGTTCTTGACCCCTTTGTCAAATATCAGGTGGCTGAAATTGCATTTACTCATATTTGGGTCTTCAATTTTGTTCCATTGATCTATGGATCTATTGTGAAGGAGAGTGTTTCCATGTGCTCATTCTCTGATTGCTTGTTATTGGCATTGCCAGTATCATGTTGTTTTTATGACTATAGCTCTGTAATACAGTTTAAAAGTCTGGTATAGTAATCCCCCCGGCATTGCTCTTAGTGCTCAGGGTTGCTTTGGCTATCCGAGGTCTTTTGTGCTTCCATATGAATCTTAGGATGTTTTTTTCCAATTCTGTGAAGAATGTCATGAGGATTTTGATTGGCATTGCATTGAATCTGTAAATGGCTTTTGGTAGGATGATCATTTTCATAGTATTCTTCCAATGCATGGGCATGGGAGTTTCTTCCATCTTCTGATATCTTCCCCAATCTCTTTCTTTAAAGATTTAAAATTTTCACTGTAGACGTCTTTAATGTCTTTGTTCAGGCTTATTCCAAGATATTTTATATTTTTCGCAGCTATTGTGAAGGGGAGTGTTTCCATGTGCTCTTTCTCTGATTGCTTGTTATTGCTATATTTCCAAGGTATTTTATTTATTTTTTGAAGCTACTGTGAATGGGAGTGTTTCCATGTGCTCTTTTTCTGGTTGCTTGTTATTGATATATAGGAAGGCTATAGCCTTTTATAGGTTAATTTTGTAACCTGCCACTTTACTGAATATGTTAATAATTTCTAGGAGTTTTCTGTGGAATTTTTGGCATCTCTTAGGTATAATATATCATCTGCAAAAAGGGATAATTTGATCTTTTCGAATTATTACTCCTTTAATTTTCTTCTTGTCTTACTGCTCTTGCAAGAGTTTCAAGCACTGTGTTTAAAAGGAGTGGAATATTGTAGACAGCCTTGCCGGGTTCCTGATTTTAATGGGAATGTTTCCACTTTTTCCCTATTTAGAATGATGTTGGCTGTGGGTTTGTTATATATGGCTTTAATTATGTTGAGGTGTGTTCCCTTCTTTCCAGTTCCCTCTAGAACTTTGAACATAAATGCATGTTGAATTTTATCACAGGCCTTCCCTCCATCTATTGAGATAACCATGTGGTTCTTGTCTTTGAGTACCTTTATATGATTTATGATGTTTATTGACTTACGTATATTGAACCATCCCTGTACCTCTGGGAGAAAGCTGACTTGATCATGGTGGATGATCTTTTTAATATGTGTATGTATGTAGTTTACACGTATTTTGTTGAGAATATTTGCATCTATGTTCATTTAGGATATGGGTCTATAGTTTTCTTTTTTGGTTGTATCTTTACCTGGCTTTGGTGTTAGAGTGATGTTGGCTTTATAGAAGGAGTTTGGAAGTTCTCCCTCCATTTCTATCTTTTTGAATAAATTAAGTAGCACTGAATGTAGATCTTCTTTAAATGTGGTAAAATTCTGGCATAAATCCATCTGATCTTGGCCTTTTTTTAACCAGGAGGTTTTGTTTTACTGTTTCAGTTACCTTATGTGTTATGGGTCTGTTTAAGCTTTTGATCTCTTCTCGGTTTATTTTTAGAGTTTTTAGATACCTGTCCATTTCTGTTAGCTTTTCAAATTTATTAGAGTATAGGGTTTTTTTCTAAATTATTTATTTATTTATTTATTCATTTATTTATTTACTTTGGTCTTTTTGAGACAGGGTCTCCCTGTAGCTCCAGCTGTCCTGGAACTCTCTATGTAGACCAGGCTGGCCTTGAACTCACAGAGATCCGCCTGACTCTGCCTCCCAAGTGCTGAGATCAAAGGCATGTGCCACCATGCCCTGCTTATTTTTTTTTATTTTATGTGTGCATTTATTGCCTGCATATAGGTATGTGTACCCGTGTTGTCCAGTGCCCGTGGAGGTCAGAAGTGGCTGTTGGATCCCCTGGGACTGGAGTTACAGACAGTTGTTAGCTGTCATGTGGGTGCTGGGATTCAAACCTGAGTTTTCTGGAAGAATAACCAGTGTTCTTAACTAACATACAGGTTTCTAAAGTTTTCTCTTATAATGTTCTGGATCTTTTTGGTGTCTGTTGTGAGGTCTCCCCTTTCATCTCTGATTCTGTTGATTTTGAGGTGCTCTTATTATTTTTATTTTCTGCGTATGAGTGTATTGCCTGTTTGTTTGTAAGTGTGCCTGTGTTGTCAGAAGTGTGCCTTGGTGGTCAGAAGTGGGTGTTGGAGCCCCTGGAAATGGAGTTACAAACAGTTGTTAACTGACATGTGGGTGCTGGAAGTCAACCAGGTCTTCTGCAGGAGCAGCCAGTACTCTTCACTGATGAGCCATCTCTCCAGCCCAGGTTCATCTTTTAAAGTGGTTTTCTTCCCTTCTGTCTCTGTGGTATTTCTGTGGATCACCCTTCCTTAGTACAGTTGGTGGTTTTTTTTTTTTTTTTTTTTTTTTTTCTTTTCCTGGAGCTTTTCTACATCTTTATAACACTTTGTTCTCAGGACTGAAACTAGGGCAGCATCACCTGAAAACTGTAGAATGAGTGAATAAATGCTCACTCTTTAAAATAGTGTAATTTCCACGTAAATAAGCTGTTTTATTAAAAAAAAAACCAACACAAATAGGATCTAACAACATTATCTGTTAATCTCTAACCTTTTATATTCATGAATCTTTCAGTAAGTTTTGTATTTACCTAAAATTGTAGTAAAATGTTTTCTAACTGGGTGTGGTGGTGTGTGCCTTTAATCCCAGCACTGAGGAGGCCGGGGCCGGACAGGGCAGAGACAGGGGCATCTCTCTGAGTTTGAGGCCAGCCTGGTTTACATAGCAAGTTCCAGGCCTGTTGGGGCTACAGGGAGACAGGGTTTCAAAAAACAAAAGTAAAACAATAACAGAATTTTTTTCTCCAAAGAACCCTGAGTGTTTTATATATAATTTATCTTTAATTTACTAAGTCAATACTAGGTGCTTTATTGCTTAAGACTTAATAGTATTCTGTCATGGTTTCTTGAAATATGTTGCCTTCCTTACTAAATAGTTTGGTTTGCCTTTTGTTCTGTTCTTGTGGTAGATACGACCATATGTTGGATGCTTGGTACAGTATTTGCCTCTTCTTTGGAAGCAGAGTGAAGAACACAATATGTTGCGATGTGCTATTCTGACAACACTTATTCATCTTGTTCAGGTAAGTCACCTTGCAGTTTCTTGTTTTTTCTTTTTTTCTTCTTAGACTCTTTATGTGGTTTATGTTAATGTTCCTGAAAAACTTCCTGTTACTTTTAAACTTTTAAAAATGTGATCTTAACTTTTTTTTTTTTTTTTTTGGTCTTTTTGAGACAGGGTCTCCCTGTAGCCCTAGCTGTCCTGGAACTTACTATGTAGACTCTGTGGCCTTGAACTCACAGAGATCCACCTGCCTCTGCCTCCCTAGTGCTGGGATTAAAGGTGTGGGCCACCACACCTGGCTATCTTAACAATTTTTAAAACAACTTTTATGTATTTACTTAAGATTTTTTGAGAATATTTGAAAAATATTTTCTACTTTTAAAAAGAGATTTCTGTAAGTCTTCTCTAAGTGATGGTATGTAGTTGATTTGTGTATCCACATGTGGTTACAGAGCTTTTCTGGATGAACTTACTATGAGTTCTTACCTTTTGCCTGAATTTAAAATAACAATTTCCTTTTCATAACCTAAGAAGTCAGACAAGCAGATGGATTGTTCTTTAGGAATGAATTTGACTTTAGGTGATTTTGACTTTAAAGTGTTGCTATGTGCAGCAGGTAGAAATGAAGCTTTGGGAAGGGAGGGAGAGGAGGCAGAGGGAGAGGGAGAGGGAGAAGAGGCCAGAGGGAGAGGGAGAAGGAGGGAGAGGAGGGGGGAAGGGAGGAAGAAAGAGAGAGAGAGAGAGAGAGAGAGATCTCTGAACTAGTAAAAGTGAGTTTATGACATTTTCTATTGGAGTTATCCTTCTATATTAAGAATCATAGTGATTTTTAATCTAAAACTTTACAATATTAGTTTTTATTATTTTTTTGAGGTAGGGTTTTTCTGCAGCCCCAGCTGGCCTGGAACTCACTATGTAGACCAGGCTGCCCTCAAACTCACAGAGATCCATCTGCCTCTGTCTCCCCAGTGCTGGGATTAAAGGTGTGAACCACCACACTGTCTCCTTAATTTTTATTTTATGTGTATGGGTGTATTGTTTTCATGTAGCTAGGTGTACCCGTGTTGTCCAGTGCCTCTGGAGGTAGGTCAGAAGAGGGCATCGCATCCCTTGGAACTGGAGTTACAGAAGGTTGTTAGCTGTCATGGGCAGGGAATGTGGGTGTTGGTAACCGAAACTGCGTCCTCTGCAAGTGCAGTGAGTGCTCTTAACCGCTGAGCCATCTTTCGAGCTCCAACATTATTTTGTTTGAACTTACTCTTTCCATAAATATTTGCGCATGAGTTTTATCATAAAATTCCCAAGAAAGTTTTAACATTTATTATTTTTATTTTATGTGTATTTGTATGAGTGTATTGCCTGCATGTATGTAAGTGCACTCATGTGGTGCAGTGTCTGTGGAGGTCAGAAAACAGAAGAGGGTGTCGGATCCTCTGGAACTGGAGTTACAGAAGTTGTTAGTCTCCGTGTGGGCACTAGGGACCAACCTGGGTCCTCTGCAAGAGCAGCCACTGCTCTTAACCACTGAGTCATATCTCCAGAATCCCCAAAAGAATTTTAAATAAATGATTAATGATACAAAATATTTTTATTGTATTTTGCTCCCTTAAAATATTTTAAGATTCAGATGACAGTTTGGATTTTAACCTATTTAGATTCTCAACTCAGTGATAGTAAATGCACTCATAATACAGCCATCATCACCATCCGTCTTTATAATTTTTTTCATTTTATGAAATTGAAACTATACTGTTAAGTAAAAATATTCCCCCAGCTCCCTGATAAAGCATTTTTTGTAAAATAAGTATCTTCCTGTCTACCCTTAATTCTTAGGCTTATCCTATAAAGATGATGTTATTTTATAGATGAGAGCAACAGGATATCAGAGAAGGTTAGTGACTAGTTTGCAGTCGCTCTGTACATAATGGAAGAAACGATGACCCTTAGGTCCTTTGTATTATAGGTGTGTAAAGCTGTGCTTTTGGATTAAACTGGGAACTCCAACTCTGTAGCGCTCTCTCTCTCTCTCTCTCTCTCTTTCTCTCTTCTTCCCTCCCTCCCTCCCCCCCCTCTCTCCTCTCTCTCCTATGTCTCTTTAGGGAGTGTCACTTAAAACAGTCTTGGTAAGCCAGAATAATCTTTGTGGAATGTTTAACATTTTCCTTCAGTCATGACATTTAACTGCCTATGTGTTAGCATTGGCTAAGAATGCAAAGTTCCAACCAAGTAATAATCTGTTGTTTCTTGCAAATAAGCATATAATGTTTGATATAAAAATTGAGTCTGTAGTGTACTTTTTTTTTTTTTGGTCTTTTTGAGACAGGGCCTCCCTGTAGCCCCAGCTTGCCTGGAACTTACTATGTAGACCAGGCTGGCTTCACACTCAGAGAGATCCACCTGCCTATGTTTCCCGAGTGCTGGGGCTAAAGGTGTGTACTACCATGCCCTGCGAAAGTTCAGTTTTTAGTCATTTGAGAAGATTGGGGTCATTGTTAAATCCCTCTGTCAGGCAACACTGCCATCTTTCTGCTCTTAATAAGACAGACATTAGTCTGAGCTTCTTTAGGTTTTTGCATTTGTATTTTAAAAACCTGGAAACCCACACTGTAGTAATCTTTGCCTTTGCAGGTTGATTGCCTTAAAAGTAAGCAATCTAGTCTGCAGTAGTTGGTTTCAGTGGAAGTAAGCATTTATTCATAGTCACTGTTGAATACATGGTATTAGACACTAGGAGATGAATTGGGCAAGTTGTGCAGCTGACAGTGTAGGGAACTACTTAACAGTTGTATGAAAGTGGTCTTTTAGCACTAACATTTCATATGGGAACGTATGATGGGCTATCTGTCTCACTGGAAGTGAGCTGGATTATCAGGGAAGGTCTTGTGACAATATTGGCATCCAAATATTGTTGTTAAATACTGTTAGATAACAGTTGTTAATGAGGTAGTGGTTTAGGAGCGATAGTGGCCAAAGGTATTTTAGAGAACTATACCATGTATAAAGCTCCAATAGTACCTGAACTTGTCATTGTGATAAAACAAGTTAAGGAAGGATTTATTTTGGCTCAGAGTTGTTCTTGGGTCTGTTGATATGACTCCTGGGGAGGTAGAGCGTTGTGGAGGTAGAAGTATGTGTTAGTCACTTTTCTGTTGCTGTGATAGAAACACTGACCAAAGCAATTTATAGAAGGAAGAATTTATTTGAGCTTACGGTTCCAGAGGAATTACAGTCCATCATAGCGGGGAGGCATGGCGACAGAGGTGGCTGGAGGAGGAGCGGAAGCTAGGCTCTGCATCTCAATCTGGCACAGAGACAAGAGAGCAACTGGAGATCCTGCAAGGCTTAAGAACTCTCTAAGCCCACCCCCAGTGATGTGCTTCCTCCAGGATTCCACACCTTCTATGACCTCCCAAAACAGCACCACCATCTGGGGTGAAAATGTCCAAATACTTGGAGCCTATGGGGGACATTTTCACTCAAATCACCACAGAGCATGTGACAGAGCTTACTCACTACTAGTGGACAGGAAAGAGAGTGAGAACCAGAGAGGAGCCAGAGATAAAGTGTACTTCCCAAGGACACACCTCCATTGACCTCTTTCACCAGCTAGGCCCTACCCCTTAAACTTTTTACAGTCCTCCAAAATAGTACCACCAGTTAGGGCCCAAACCTTCAACAATGAGTCTGTGACTGGTATTTTATATTTAAATGATAATAATTTCCTAGGAATGAGATAATGTGGTAATTTTTTTTCTTTAAAGTTATATATATTGATCAGTTTTAGATATAGACAGGAACAGGAGTCAGCTCTTAAATTTTTTTCTTTTCCTTTTAATGAAAAGTAATAGTACCTTGCGCCTCCTCGCTATTTCCTGTTTGGTGGAAGCCTCCTCTTTCATCTTTTAAAGAAGGATCTTTAGATTTCTTCAACTTCTACCACTAAGTAACATGCATTTACTTTTAATTTTTTTTGTGGTTTGTGAATGTTGATTTTGTGTGTGTGTGCATGTGGAGATACATATGCATATGTATGTATGTACTTGTGCCTGGAGGGTAGAGATTGAGTGTCTTCCTGAATTGTGCATCATATATATATTATACATATATATAGTGTGTGTGTGTGTGTGTACCGTACATGCATATCTTACCTTTTTATTAAATTTTAAAAATTTAATAAG